ATATATATTATAAAATATTAAATATATATGTATATATAAAATATTTTACTGTAAATATTTACATACAAAATGTAATTGTAACATATTTTTATTATGTTAGTCAGTATATTATTCTTTATTTCATACAAAAAGCTTCCGAATATTTTTTAGAGAAGAAGAGAAGGGAAAAAATTAAAAAGAAAAAATCTTTCTTAAAATCTTATTAAAAAATCTTTCAATTATATTAATTTGAAAGACATTAACACAACATTAAAAATCGCTGAATTATTAAGTTGAGAGATTTCTTAATGCCATCGTTAGCAAATTATCATTCGCGAATTATCTTTTAGTTTATATTACCTCGTGTGTGTTCTTTCCAGATTTTGCGAGATATAAAAGATCGATCAATATCTCATTTATTCTTGATTGATTTACATTATAGTGTAGCCGAATGTCGTGGAGCTAAGTGACGCATGGCTAGATAAGGAACTTGTCGATTTAGGGAACTGGGAGGTATGGCTTTGCCGCGTTTCTCCCTGAAGAGATACTTTTTCTACGTGCTATGTCTGACGGGCACATTGATCGTTCTGCTAAATCTCCTGCGAGAGGATGAAATATGGCACAGCATGCGACCACATCCCAGTCAGCCACAGGCTGTTCGAGTTACCGGCGACATGCCGAAGGTATGTGCTAAATTATTAATTGTTCTAGATTAATCGATGCGAAAGTCATCATTATTATCTAATCATGGAGAAAATAGTTAATTACATAAAAAGTGTATCCTTTTTATAATCTTTCGTTTTGTAAATTTGAAATAGAATAACGATATTGTAATATTCAGAAGCGTACAAAAAGAGAGTTAGTCATCCGCATATAAAAATAATTTTTGTCATCCCAGAAGCATATATGTATAATTATTCATATATAGAAATTGATTAAAAAAAAGAAACAAAAAAGAAATCGTGCTATGCGTTTTTCGAATTTTAATTCTTAAAATTAGAAAAAGATAAAAAATAAATTAATCTATGTATATGTATATTTTTATCTCTAAAATTATCTTTTTCAATTATTCAATTTTTATTTTTATCAATATACATAGATTAACTTTAATTTCTTCTGTACTATTTCTATCAATATAGATTAACTTTATTCTTGATTTTTATTTAACTTGTTTTTTATTTTTTTCTAGTTATAAGAATTAGAAAAAGATAAACAATAAGAAGAAGATTAAAGTTAATCTATATTGATAGAAATGGATAACAGAAGAAAATAATTTAATAAAGACGCTGCCGATATTTAAGAAGCTATGATTTTGTCATATTTGTATTCTACGACTACCAAATATAATTTAATGAAGTTTGATTGTTTCTGGCTTTGGCCATCTGTGTGCTATGCAAGCATTGCTTGTTAGACACATTCCTGGTAATATTAATTATCTTTTATTAACCACATTAATAAAAATTGTAATATTAAACATATATTTTTGACCTTTATTTGTCTCAAAAACAAATGATATTTATTTATAAAATCTTTTT